AGAAGTAAACCTATCCTTATAGGGTGTGTATACCGACCGCCATCATCCAACCGCGAATACGATAACGTACTCAGCAACGTATTTAGTGTTGCATCCAATCTTCCCTTAAGTTATAATATAATTGGAGGTGACTTCAATTTGCCTGATATATCATGGCGTACACTTCGAGGACCCTCGAGGTATGATAATCTTCTTAATTCCATCATTACAGGAGGATGGACGCAACACATAAATGTACTCACTGGGTCCGATAACAACCTTGATCTTATATTCACGATCAACGTAGCACCATCTACAATTCATGTGGGACATGAATTCCCAGGTAGTGATCATAAAATAGTTGCATGTTCGTTTAATATTTCTCCAGAAACTATACATAGAAACAAAGTTATTCCGACACCTATAAGACTATACACGCAGGTTGACTGGGACTTGTATCAGGACTTGATTAGATACTCTAATTGGGATTCCTACTTTACCAATGACTCCTTAGAGGAAGTCCTTAAAAACTTCTATGACAATATACAGTCGGTTAATGATGTCATAGTGCCTGTGAAACTGATTAAATTCAAAATTCCTCAAGGTGATTTCATTCCAATATCATTAAGAAGAAGTATGCGGAAGCATTCATTAAGTTACTACAGACATGACGACTTATCGTCGTTAATAGCTATCAAAACAATCCTCATTAGAATCCATGAGTTAAAAAATCTAAGTCTTAGAAATAAAGAGACGCGGGCAATTCAGTCGCCACATAACACTGGAGAAATAGCCAAACTCTTCAAAAGTAGGTTAACTAACTCCAAATCAACATATCCAAAAATAATACACCTAGGTGGCATTACTCACGAAAGTGATGAGGATATATGTGAGGTGTTTAGCACGCACTTTGCCAAATTGTACACTCTAGAAAACGACCAGGATATAGATTTCCCTCGTAAAACAGAAAAGTGTTTAAGCGATGTAGTCTTTAACGCCCAAGAAATCGATAAAGCTATCACAACTCTTAAGCTTACTAATACTCCCGGCCCAGATGGAATGTCTTCTGTCCTCTTAAAAAAGGGTGGAAATGACATGAATCTACTTCTTCTCAAGATATTTTCAACTTCGATAAGGAGTGGAACATATCCAAATAGCTGGAAGAAATCTTACGTTGTACCCATTCACAAAACCGGGCCTATAGCGGACATAGATAATTACCGCCCCATCAACATTACTTCCGTAGTTTCACGTGTGATGGAAAAGATTATAAAGAAGCAAATTGTTCAGGTTTTGCTCTCGAATGACTTAATATCCGCCTTCCAATACGGTTTCCTAAATAGAAGATCGTGCATTACTTGCCAATTAGATTATTTCGACCACATTACTGAGTGTGTAGACAAAGGTCGTTCGGCAGCAACATTATTTCTAGACGTTAGGAAAGCTTTTGACAAGGTCCCACATAAGAGACTCATATTGAAACTCCTATCTTATGGAATAAGTGGAAGGCTACTTGAGTGGATAACTTCTTTTCTTACAGGAAGAGAACAGTTAGTTAAAGTCAACCATCACTTATCAACATCCAAACCGATAACCAGCGGCGTGATACAAGGTAGTGTTCTTGGCCCTGCCCTATTCATTGTATTCATAAATGATAATAATTCTATGATCAAGTATGGCAAGCCATACCTCTTTGCAGACGACCTCAAAGTTGTATATGATTTCGACTATAATGATATGAATATTGTTAGTAAAATCCAAGAAGACCTAAATAGTCTATGTAATTGGAGTGAAAAGTGGCAGTTAATGTTCAATCCAGCTAAATCTGGGATAACATACTTCGGACGTTGGAAACCTAGCATGTGTCTATACATGTACGGTGACCTTGTCTCAAACACGAACACAGTCACAGATCTCGGGGTAACATACTCAGATCTTACCTTTACTGAACATGCAAATAAGGTGGTATCTGATTGTAAACGTCTAACCGGCTTTGTGCTACGCAACTTTTACACCCCAGAAGCCAGATTAGCCATATATAAGATATGCATTCGCCCCAAACTTGAATACTGTGCCCACTTATACAGTAGCTTTAAATCAGCAGACAGAAAAAAAGTTGAAAGTGTCCAAAGATTCCTCACGAAACGCATATTAGGTTATGATCAGCAAATAGAATACCTTGACAGATGTATTCGACTGGACTTAGAACCCTTATGGTTAAGGAGAGTGAAGTGCAATTTATTTCTCTTATTCAAAGTTATAAATAAATAAATAAATAATAGTATATTCTCATTTTGTACATGAGGGACGCCAGTTTACAGGCATCATCAATATGATAAATTACATATACGATTAGTAAACATATTTAATAATAGTTATTTAATAAAATACATTTTTTCCTACCTGTGTAGGACACACCAATTGTACAGGCATGGATAAGTATTATTTAAATTACATAAATTTGGTTCATGGTAAAATTATAAGGTTGCAGTCATTTTGTCTATGGGAACAATATGATAACTAGTCATTCAATGGAGCACATCAAGAAATATAGAAATATTGTCTTCGCATTAACAAAAAAAACCCAAGTATGTTTTGGATGGATTACAAATACTTGGGAAAAAAATAAAGCTTGAAGTAATTCCTCTATATAATTTTGGTGTGTACGGCATCGAGTCTTATTCTTGATTTATATCCAAATTTGATAATAATTTAAAATAAGTAATCCACTTGTATACTTTTGTCAGCATTTTCTTCGTAACATCACAAGTGAATAGTACTCAAGGTAGACTAATAATAATGGTAGTTTATATTTTCTTATAAACGGGTGTTTTCAAGAAATGCAAGCTATTTTGCAGACAAGATCAGTTATGTTATAAGTTACATTCGTGAAGTATTATAAATCAATACTTTTTTATTGGTAC